TATTGATGGGCAGCTAGGGTGCTCCCATAGCTCAGCTATCGTATATAATAAAAGCCTAATATGCAAATTGACCAAACATGGAACAACCGGTGGAATGACTGGTTGCTATGATGTGCACTGACCACCAGGGGGCATACACTCAATGCAAGAGCTGCCCCCAGCCTGCAGACCCCAGGCCAGCCAAGGCGAGTGCCAGTAGGGGGGCCCCCCCAATTACCCTGCCAGTCACCCCGCAGAGGGAGGCGACTGGCGGTGGCAGCAGGGGGCGGGGCCTGTGTGTGGGTGGCACCAGGTCAGCCAAGGCAGATACCAGTGGGGGTCCCCAATTGCCCTGCCAGTCGCCCCACAGATTGGCCCTGATCACCAGCCAGGCCTTGATCATGCACCAGGCCTCTATTTGTAAATCATGCTGCAAGGAGCATAGAGATGCATGTATCTTTCTGAATGAGTGTTTTGGATTTCTTCGGATAAATACCCATAAGTGGAATTGCTAGGTCGTAAGGCAGTTCTGTCTTTAACTTTTTGAGGACCCTCATACTGCTTTCCCTAGTGGCTGCACCAATTTGCAATCCTAGCAGGGGCGCACCAGGGTTCCCTTTCCTCCACATCCTCACCAACACTTGTGGTTCGTTGATTTATTGGTGTGACTAGCTTAGAGGAAGTCATACTGGAGAGGGTGGGCCTTGCTCTAAGCTGATGATTGTCCTTACAAAAGGGAGAGACATGGAGACAGATATACCCACAGGGAGAGCACAGGCAAAGAAGGCAGAGGTCAGGGTGATGCTGCAGAAGCCACGGAAAGCCGCCAGGAGCCAGGGGAGAGGCGGGAAATGGATGCTCCCTCCCAGCCCTCAGAAGGAACTAACCCTACCAATACCTAGATCTTGGACCTCCAGCCTCCAGGACTGTGAGACGATACATTTCTGTTCTCTTCATTATTTTTTAATCCTCACCCAAAGATACGTTTTCATTGATTTGAGAGGCAGAGTAAGAGAGAAACATCCGTCAGTTGACCCCTGTACACACCTCCACCGGAGATGGAACCCACAACCTGAGAATGTGCCCCGATCAGGAATCAAACAGCCAACCTTTTGGTGAATGGGATGATGCTCCAACCAACTGAGCCACCTGGCCCGGGCTACATTTCTGTCCTCTAAGCCGGGTGTGTTACGCCAGCCTTAGCAAACAAAGACACCAAACCGATTTATTCCATAAAAAGCCCCGAGGAGCCTGGACCAGCAGCCCTGGAACTGGGGCTAGAGGGTGAGGCAGGAGGAGCGTAATGGGGTTTTCCAGTCGCTTTGAGGTCCTCGATCCCCTCCACCACAAGGCTAGGTTTCTACCCCTCCCCACACCAGCAGAATTCTGACAGCATATTATCTGAGGAGGATTAAAAATGAAGCTTTAGGTTGACAGCTGCCACACACATTTAAAGGCATAGCTACTGTACCAAAACCCGAGTACTAATTGACAGGATGTAGCCTGAATGCTATACAGAGGGAATCTTCACCACAGACATGCAGTGTGGCCTTAGGCAGG